GGTGTGTACCAACTACAACCTCAGTTTCCTCATTTGTAAAATGGGAATGATTGAGAGGATGAAGTGAGATAGCATATAAAATCACTTTGCAAACCTTAAAGCACTATGAAAGTGCTACCAGTGATTATTATTACCCTTGAAAACCCTTCTTTCCTTCTTTTAGAATGACCCTCCATGATCTCAAGGAAGTTTCCTACAAAATTGCAGAAGTAGACACTGCAGTCTGAGAACTACATAGAAATTCCAGGAACTGAATGGGGATGGGGGTGGGGAGCTACTTCTGCCCTTCCTGGTAAAATACCCACAGACATGTACTAGCAGTCTGTTTCAAAGGCAGGTTGTCTCTAGCTGCTAATATGTCTTGTCTTAGAAATTAAAGTAGAAGCCATAAGTCACACATAGCCTCCCAAATATTTCAGTTAACCTAAGAAAAGGTCTGGTGAGTGAGCTGGTCACCTTTACTATCAAGGTGAAATGAAGGCTGTAACCTAATATGAAGACTCTCTCTCCACCCATCCACTGCCCTCCACCCCCCAAAAATCTCACCACTCAAATTAGCAGCGGCTTATACATTCTGTGAACCCTGCCAGAGTATGAGTACGGGTGTTAAGATCTCACACCAGAGGGTCAATTCAGGTAAGGAACTGGACAAAAGAGTGAACAAGTAAGGAAAAGCGAAAGTAGGAAGAAAAGGTTGATATTGTAGATCAGTAATTCCCTGCTCTTTCAAACATGAGGACCCCTTTTTAATATCCCAAAAGATCCCAGACCCCTGCACAATAAGGATCATGCTATTATTACTGTTCATTGATGCAGAAAATATGAAAGTAGATGACAAATGGCTAATATAAATTCAGTAAAGCTTTTAAATCAATGCATATTTTCTTAATAATAATAGCAACAGTCAGTCAACAAGCACTTATTAAGAACCTACCAGGTGCCAGGCACTTTGCTAAGGTTCAGGGGATACAAGCACAAAGAATAAAACAATCCTTATTCATATATATATATGTATATGTAAATGATATCTAGCCAAAATATATATATATATATATACCTGATCTTCCCAACTCCTTTCCAAATGACTGTTGTATTTAACTGCTTCACACATATTATATATCGTAATGGGAAATATTACATTCTATATTATAATATAGGATAGGAAATATGTAAATATTTCTTAAATATAGGAAATATATTTATATGTTATAGGTTGTATATAATATATTATTTTGGTTTTGTTTAGTTGTGTCTAAACAAATTCATGACTCCATTTGGGGTTTTCTTGGCAAAGATACTAGAATGGTTTGCCATTTCCTTCTCCAGCTCATTTTACAGATGAGGAAACTGAGGCAAATAAGATGAAGTGACATGCCCAGGGTCATATAACTAGTAAGTGTTGGATTTGACCTCAGGAAGACTCATTTTCATGACTCTAGGCCCAGCACTCTATCCACTGTGCCACCTGGCTGCCCAGGTTGTATATAGCATAATAGAAAATATATAAAAATATATATGAAGAAGTTAAGTACAAGGTAGTTTGGGAGGGAGTTGGGAGGAATCCGAAAAAGCTTCTTGGCTTCTTGAAGAAGATGGTGTATCTTGAAGGAAAGGAAGGACTTTATGAGAAGAAGTAAGGAGAAAGTGATTTCCAGACATGGAGGATAGCCAACCCTTTCAAAGGCTCAGAAAATAGGAAATGGAATATCCCTGGTAAGGAAAAGAGAGAAGGCCAGTTTGACTGGATCAGAGAAAGCAGGAGTGAGACTAATAAAAGTACAATGAAGCTAGAAAGATTGGTCAGGGCTAGAGAGTGAAGGACTTTTTTTTTTATTAATTTATTTTGATTTATCAACAATCACTTCCATACGCTTTTAAAATTTTTCTCCCCCTTCCTCCCCTCCACCCTCCCCAAGATGGTGCACAATCTGACATGGGCTATACATTTACATTCCTATTAAACATATTTTCACATTAGTCATGTTGTAAGGAAGAATTAGAACCAATAGGAGGAACCACCAGAAAGAGGAAGCAAAACTCAACAGAAGAGAAAAAAAATAGCAAATAGTCTGCTTCGATCTGCATTCAAACTCTGTAGGTTCTTTCTTTGGATATGGATAGCATTTTCCATGTGAAGGATTTTTAAAAGCTAAACACAGAAGTTTACTTATTTCCCTACAGGCAATAGGGAGCCACTGGGATTGATTGAGTAAGGGAGGAACATGGTCGTCTCTCCCTGTAAGGAAAATTGCTTTGGCAGCAGTGCGGAGGGTGGAGTAGAGTGCGAAAAGACTTGAGGCAGACAGACCAATTAAGAAGCAGTTACAATAATCTAAGAAAGAGGAAATGTGGGCCTGAACTAAGGTGCTAGTTGTAAGAGTGGGAAGACGTACTGTTGTGTTGTTTCACTCATGGCTGACTCTTTGTGACCCCATTTGAGGTTTTCTTGGCAGAGATACTGGAGTGCTTTGCCATTTCCTTCGCCAGCTCATTTTACAGATGAATTAACTGAGGCAAACAGGGTTAAGTGACTTGTCCAGGGTCACACAGCTAGTAAGTGACTGAGGCCAGATTTGGACTCAGGAAGATTGGTCTTCCTGATCCCAAGCCCAGCGCTCTATCTATTGTGCCACCTGGCAATCCCTATATGTGTGTCTAATAAAATACACCCATATTCATTCCATAGAAAGCATACTTACTTGTTTATTATCCTGAGCCGTTTAATGAAATGGCCAATGAGCAGATAATTTGTTGTTACTGTTATTGTTGTTGTTACATATTGTTCACTTGGTTAAAAAAGTGCATATTAAATTTACCAAGGTAATAACAAAATTGCCCCATATAAGTGTGTCCCCTCCTGAATATCTTTTCATTTTTGCTGTGTATTTTAAAATATTTTATTGATGATCTTTTCTTTCTTTTATTTTTATTCTTTGTATCTTTAGCACTTTGAGTTTTTGCTAAGATTTTCTCTTGTGACCTCTGAGGGGAGTAATGTAAATATTATTATTCTCCTTGTATAGATGAAGAAATTGAGGCTTTATAGAGAGGCCTATGGTTATGTAGCTAATACATATTACAATTGAGATTTAAGCACAGTTATTTGGAGTCTAAAACCAGGGCCCTTTTTCCTATATAATTAATTATAATGAAAATGCTTACATTTTTGAAAAATTTGAAAAAAACATTTTCTTATTTTGTTATATTGCTACATGTACTCAAAGTAGTTCTAGAATCATATACAATCAAGTCCATATCTTAGGGGCTTCTCAATAAGTACATCTCTGTGGCTCATACCCCAACTCAACGTAACCCCAGGAACATCTGAGACTGAGTTGTTTTCAGTTCTTATCTTTGGGTTCTCAGTTCCCTTGTAAGTAACCAAAGCATGAAATATAGGACAAGTATATCAGTCACACACACACACAAAAAAATCCACAAGGAAATAGCTTGTACTCAGTCCCATAGATAGTAAAAATACATACATATTCCTTTCTGATCAGTTCCACCTCCCCTACAAATATGTGGTACTCCTCTAGGATTGAAGTTCTACTAAGGAAAAGAAATGAGAGAATCAGGAAATCCACCCCAATGGTGAATCCCATCTTCTCCAGAACCACACCATTTTTCTAGACTTACAGTGCAACCTTGAGGTTGATGTCACACCAAGGTCTATAAAGAGCCAACCCCAGTCCCTGGACCTACATGATCCTCATGATTCACAATACCATCGCAGGGCATGGTTCATATTTGTTCCTCCACATCTGACTCTCTGCCTTATCGCCCCTCATCTCTGCCTGTATTAGTTCATACAAGTCTTCCCAAGTTCTGAATTTGAATCAGGAGCTCTTTCACTTGGTCCAGAAGCTTCCCTGGCACTCTTCTGGCACTGCCTCCATATGTATGTAATAATGCTCTCACTTTCTCTATCTCTGGCTCATGTAAATGAAACTCCGCGTTGTCCTGTTCTTGCACCATTTGAGACATCGTTGTTTATTGTCCTGTCTTAGATGCTGCCTGCTTTGATTCCATCCATTTTCTCCTTCCTCAGGAAAGCTTCTACCATTAGATAGCCAGGGACAGTATATCTCTGAGCTAGTTAAAAGATTGCCCCCTTTCTTGTTAGGCCCACAGTTTGGGTGGCTATGCAGACTTTTTCAGAGTTTTCAATTAAAAGTCCCAGACCTTACTCTAAGTTGATATGGAGCAACTCAATTTTTTTATCTCTTCCCATCCTCAGGATACGGGCAGTCTGCCTTCCTCTTCCCCACCCCACATATAGTCTGCACCTCCAATTTAGTCTTTTTTAAGCAAAAGGAAAACGTCCATGCCTCTTTCCATTCACCTTTTTGGACTCCTGTCATATTGACCTAAGTCAAGTCATGCAAATTACTTCAAAGCCCAGAGAAGCCTCCAACAATTGAAATATCAGAGAGAAAAGAGGCAAAGCTGGTATCCATTGCTGTCTCAAACAACACATCCACAATGGCTAGGCTCATTATTCCCTTTACAATGCCATTTGGGCAGTTAGGTGGCATAGTGGATAGAGTGCCAGGCCTGGAGTCAGGAAGATTGCTTCTCCTGAGTTCAAATCCAATCTTAGACACTTACTAGCTGTGTGACCCTGGCAAGTCACTTCGCCCTGTTTGCCTCAGTTTCCTCATCTGTTAAATGAGCTGGAGAAGGAAATGGCAAACCATTCCAGTATCTTTGCCAAGAAAACTCCAAATGGGTCACAAAGAGTTGGACAAAACTAAAAAATGACTAAACAATAACAAAACAGTACCATTAATAAGAAGCACCTTTAAAAAGCACATCAAAACATATTACTGAAAGGGTCTACTGAAGTTTTCTTTAAAGCAATGGGTTCTGCCCCTGAGAGCTTCTGTCCTAGAACAGTTTGACTATGGATGTGACCACAACCATCAACATTGAAGAGATTTCAAGAAATGCAGGGCACGTAAACATTTGAAAGAAAACTGGAATTATAACTTGCTTACTTTGGCCACTGGGATCCTGAATATTGCTGAAATTAAGTCAGTCCAATGCAATTTTCCAAATTCTAGGAAGAAAAAAATAGAAGAAAAAATTCATAAACTAGCATAAAAGTATTTTTCACCTATCTCATCAATGTTAATTGTTCATACACCTCAAGTCTTTGCTTCTTTATTAATTAGGGGAAAATTACCTCTAATGATATAGAATAAAGAGCTCTAGACTGGAAGTCAGGAAATCTGGGTTCGAATCTAATAGTCACAGCTGGGTGTCCATGGGCAAGTCACAACCTCTCTGAGCACTAGTCTCTTCATCTATAAAACAGGGACAATAATACTTGTACTCATAAGGTTATTGTGGGGCAAGTCTTGAAGTGCTCTATAAATGTAAGTTATTTTGATTCATGAAGTCCAATGATTCTCAAGTTATATCTTGTTGATATGTTTTCCAGGTCAGTTGTTTTTGATATATCTTAAAATTTTTCCTTTTTTTTTAATCTTTTGATTTTGTTCTGGCATTTCTTGCCATCTCATGGACTCAACTATCTGTTTGATCTCTATTTAATAAGGCTGAATTTTATGGTCACCTACTTTAGATAGTGTGACTTAAATGCACTAGTCATTTAAGCTCAAACAGTTTATAGCTTTAGTGTCTCTAGATGACCTTTATCTAATAGTGTCTAAATATGCCAGTCACCAGTCCTCTTTTCCCAGGTTTCCTATGGTAACAAACATTTTATAAATCATGGAATCACTGTACACTGTGTATTTGTAAAGGGGTACCTCTAAAAATATTCACTGAAGAAAAAGTCATTAGAATTTAGCCAGTAGCTTCAGACAGTTCATAGGCCTTAGGAGTCCATGAATACACCATTTTGGGACCTGTTTCAAACTATTAGCAGGAGAAACTGCTTCCATGTCCTTGCTGTTGGCAGCCCCAGCAAAAAGGCAGGCTTGAGCATTCCCTAAGGCTATTAACTATGGCTGCTGCCTTCCCATCCTTTCAGCTCAAGTGAATTCCACACTGCTTACTGTACTGTGTTTCAACGATTTGTTCTATATTTCCTGCAATGCTTACTCGTTCTCCATCTATCCAATGAGGGAGTTGGAGCACATGACCTCTAAAGCCCTAAGAGCCCTAAAATCTCAAGTCCTTAAATAAAATTCAAGAGGGCATAAGAGTAAGATGGAAAGAGTTTCCCTCATTCTACTCCTTCCCTATGAAAGGTGAAATCATAAAGTTTGTCTTTGCTGGTCTTCTACCTTAATTTAAAAAACCCTCTTTCACTTCCTAGTACAGTGGTTCCCAACATTTTTTGTTCATTGAATCCTTTCTGACAAAAAAAAAAGTGTTGTGAACCTCTAAGGCAATTTAATATACTACTCATAATATTCTTTACAATTATTTACTGCTTAAGGCCCCATTAAAGAATTTTTAACAGGAATCTTGTGGAACCACCCTGTGAGAACTATTGTGTAGAATATAATCTCCTTGAAGGCAAGCACTGTTTTGTTTATGTCTGCATGCCTGGCACCTAGTACAATACCTGACATTTAGCAGCTACTTAGTGAATGCTTGTTGAATTTAACAGAATTCCTAATATCCTTCTCCCCAGGTCCCCAGGACCTTAATGCTAGTATAGGCTCTTGTTGTTGGGGTTCTGATGACTCAGAGTGAATGTAAATAGCAACTGTTTCTGTTCTAGCCAGAAACCCTGAGGATCTTCCCCTCCAGTTTGATTTTTTTTTAATAGGCAAACTAGATTATCTTTTGTCTCATTTCTTACCTAGCCTTAAATCACTGAATGGGTGTTGCCTCAGACAAACTCAGACCTAGGAAAGACCTTAGCTTACAAAGGCCAAGGTCTCCCACCACATCCAGTCGTCCTGATCTATGTCTTGCCACTGGACCCAGATGGCTCTGGCGGAAACAGTGAAGCTGGTGACTTTGCACAGCTCTCCTTCACTTAAATCCAATTCACTTGCAAGTCAATACATCACTCTTCTGATGTCATCAGTCCTCTTCAAGAACGAAGGACAAACAACAACAACAATAAGTATAGACTCTCCACTGGGGTTCTCCAACCTAGGTCTCCCAAAGTATTGCATGCTCCACAATAATCTCCCTTCCCTACTCACCTCCTCAAGTGAATGTGTCTATGTCCTCAATACTGCTGATGTCAGCTGTTTGGAAGAATGCAAACTGATTGAGTCACTTCATAGGTAATTGACAGAAATGAATATATCAGGACGGATTGCCTTTGGGAAGCTATGCAGTATTTTAAATTGTCCCAAACTGCTCTCTGCTGCCAAAGCTAACTTTTTTTCTCCCAGTAATAATATTAGGCTGAGAAACATTGAACCACTATCTCAGAAGAATCAAAATTATAGTAACACAAAACGGGAAGGGAAAGATACATGGTAAACATACGTAAGCCTTAGCATATTAGGCATAATTATTCCAAGTGAAAAGTAGTATAAAAGACATTAAAAAGATGTATGGCTGAAAAAAAAGGTGAATGTAGTTCATGTAGCAAGAATGAGAGGCAATGAAATGGTGACCCAAAAGGTGATTTGATAGACTTATGATATCAATCCAACAATTTGGATCACAACCCAGTCACGTTTTCTCATGCTGGATAATTCTTATTTACGTCCTCTTGTAAGTCTCCCTCAGGAGGTCCACTCAGTGTACCTTCCTTCAGGTTTCTTGATTCTACGTGGGCACTAATGGCACGCATGGGTTAGCCATCTGCTGTCCTTCACTCTTGCTACTTGACAGGCCAGATTCCTTTATTTCTGCTCACAAATCTCTATAGTGATATCATTTATTTTTCTTCTCTTGTGAACTATGCCTCGTTTCTGCTTCTTAGAATATCGGCTTTTTGTAGTCAAGGATTGTCACTCTTGTACTGGTATTCCAAAGCACTTAGCACAGTGACTAGGGCACAGTGAGTGGTTTTTTTCATTCATTCATTCATTCATTGGGATAATATGCTGTAGCCCATTTATGCCCACCATATAGCTCTGCATTGCCTTTTGAGTAACCTTCTATTCTGAGACTTTAAAGATTATGGTACTCCATAATTTGAATCATATAACATCCCTGGAGGAATATGTATGTTAAATAAGATCACCTTTTGTTTTAACAAGAAGCTTCAGATCATGAAAAACTATATAGTTTCTCAAATGAAATTTAACTCTGAGCATAGTTCATCATCTACATGTATTATGTGTTTGATATATTTGTTCTGATGAATCAGATCTAGACACTGTCTATTCATCTGCCTATCACCAGAGACAACAGGTATTCTTCCACATGGTTTTTCCAGTGAGGATAGTTAGACTGATTGATTGCTTGATTTTTTTTTTTGTTCCCGTGTGTGTGTGTGTGTGTGTGTGTGTGTGTGTGTGTGTGTGTGTGTGTGAAAGAGAGAGAGAGACAAAGAGACAGAGAGAGACAGAGAGAGAAACACAGAGAGAGAGAGAGAGACAGAGAGAGAGAGAGACAGAGAGAGAAAGAGAGAGAAGAGAGAGAGATTATGAACCTCATTTAAGAGACTGCAATCTTCCTTGGCCTTAATGAAGTCAGTAAAATGTCATCTGTGAATCAGAACATCCAGAAGATATCACCATCAATACAGAATTCTATTTCCCTTTTTTCTTTTTTTTTTTTTCTTTTTTTTTTTAGGCAATTGGGGTTAAGTGACGTGCCCAGGGCCACACAGCTAGTAAGTGTCAAGTGTTTGGTCTGAGGCTGGATTTGAACTCCAGTCCTTCTGACTTCAGGGCTGGTGCTTTATCCACTGCTCCACTTAGCTGCCCTTCTATTTCCCATTTTGGACTCTGCATTGGAGATCCTCTCTTACGTGGCAAGCGCCTTTGATAAACATAGGTCTCTGTCTTATAGGTTATTTAATATTAATAAAAGCAGGATTATCAAATGAAGTTATCTCTGGTGTGTCTTTCAATGGGGCTGGATCTATTTTAATAGCATTCCCTATGATCTCATTTTTAAGCTATTATAACATTAAGTATTATGTAGACAAATTAATTTTTGTGATGTTATCCAGTATTTGTCATGCCCAGCATCTCCATTTTTTTCTCCTTGAAGAAAGCATTCATGATAAGTAGACATGAGTCTTCTAGACAGACCATAAGCCTTTGGTCTTCTGTATTCTTTAATTCTTTATTCTGAGCCATTTTTGCCAGCATATCTTTTCCCATTGCCCCATGCACCTTTGCATTGAAGTAACTGATTATTGAGTTTATGTTGATTTAATTTAGAGGCTCTTAACAATTTCTTTTTTTTTTTTAATTTCTCCTTATCCTTGTATCCCCAGAGCTTAGCATCATGCCTGGCAAATACTTAACAAATGCTCGTAGGAGAGAGAGGTTTGCATACAACCTGGAATATCTTTATGATGGTTTCTTTCCAAATGGACAAAGAATACTATCATGAGCACTGCAATATGAAGAGACCAAGTGTCCCATGAAGTGATGATTCTTGTTCCCTTTTCATCCATGATAAAACCACCTCTGCCAACTCCAATTTCTGCATTTGCTTCTCCAAGGAGAACCTATGAGTCATCCCTCCACCTAATTATAACTTTCTTTTATTTTCTGGTTTCATGATATCAAGAACAAGAATGTTGACATGGCTCTGCCCCTCTAACTGGATGCTGATTTGTCGGTCCCTGGATTAGAGGCTCAAATGTAGAATGTCTTTGTTGTTCAATTGTGTCGTACTCTTCATGGCCCCATTTGGGGTTTTCTTGGCAAAGATACTGAAGTGACTTGCCGTTTCCTTCTCTAGCTCATTTTGCAGATGAGGAACTGAGGCGAACAGGGCTAAGTGACTTCCCAGGGTCACACAAGCCAAGTGTCTAAGGTCAGATTTGAGCTCATGAAGATGAGTCTTCCTGACTTCAGGCCTGGCACTCTATGCACTATGGCACCTCCTAGCTGCCCCTACATGTAGAATACCAATAGCTAAATAGATACTATAGCCAATCTACAACCTGTGTGATGTTTAGCACTCTCTGCACCTCTCCTCCTGCCCCTCTTTTTGGTCACTGCTAGAAGGACCTGTAGAAGTCAAAAAGGGTCACACATTGGAATAAGGAGCATTTGGTGTTCTTTTTGGTTTCATAAGTTGCCATTTGTCAAATAATTGCTTTTCCCAAAGGCATTAAAACAACCAGAGGAAGGCTTCCAGTGCATTGGGTCAATAGTCCATGGATGATTTAGGATGGACCAGAATCCCACAGAACGAGGAGGTAAGTTAGCATTACAATTTAGACTAACAGAGGAACTATTTCTACGTATGAGATTGTAGATCCATTTAAGTATCCAAATATTCCTTGACAATGATGACGATAATAATAATAATAACAATAATAGCATTTATATAGTACCTATTATATACCAAACACTTTACAAATATTGTCTCATTTATTGCTCACAAAACCCCTAGGAGGTAGATGCTACTATCATCTCCATCTACAGATGAGGAAAATGGAGCAGAGGTTAAATGACTTGTCCAAGGTCACTCAAAAAGTAAGTGTCTACGGCAGACTTTGAATTCAGGTCTTCCTGTCTCCAGGCCCAGCACTGTATCCACTGCTTTATCTAGCTGACCTTCCCAGATATATCGGGTTTAGTATAGAGGACTGGATTTAGAGTAAGGAAGAAATGGGTACTCACTTGCTCTCTGACCCTGGGTAAGTCACTTAACTGCTACATGCCTCAGTTTCTTCATCTGTTAAATGAAGGGGTTAAATTCTGTGGTCTCTAAGGGCCCTTCTAGCTCTAAACTGTTGAGTCTATGATCCTATATGTTCATTTAAATATGGACATTAGATATAATGCTATTTTACCTGAGTAAATCTTTAATTGGTGGAGTTGAGAACTACGGCAAAATTAAAAATTTCAGGCAGTATTGGGAAAGGAGGCAATTTTTGAGGAGAGGACAGTTGCTTGTGCTGACTGGCCCTCCTTGCAGTTCATCCTTTTAGCTGTTTCTGACTCTCACAATATCTTCCTTTTCTCTCCTGAATCCAAGATGCTTCAAAAGCCACATGTACTCACTCACACCAGCTCCAAAGGCATTGTGTAGTCCTAGAATTCTGATGATGGATGCTGGGGGCAGGGTGGAAGAAGACTGGTCGTACCCAGGTCTGGGACTACCTGCCTAGTAAGGATTTAAATATGGCCAATCGCCTTTCCCCCCCCACACACACACTTTGTCCAGCCATGTTAAGTTTCCTATGTCGTTAACATCAGGGTCTGCTGACCTCTGACCCAGACATGCCCTAAAAGAGAGGGAATGACTCAGAAAGTGTTGTCAGGGGTTCAGCTTTTCAATAATCTTGTCACACAGATTCATCACAGTCAGATCTCCTAGCTGTTCTCCATGCCCAAGGCCTTGGACCACATGGTCACAAAGCCCACCATGCCGGACTCCCCTGGGGAATACAGGGGGAAAACATGCACAGGAACAAAAGGAAAGACTGCCCAACATTCCTAACCCCAACTGTTTGCTGCCATTTGGACGAAAGCAACCTGATTGAATTATTGCCTTCTCATATTTGAATGACAGAATTGAGCAAGAGGATGAGGTCAGACTGGATTGGATTTGGGGAGCTGAATAGTGCTTTCAATGATCCCAGATTGCTCCGGAATTCTTCCTCTTCTCTCAATCAGCAGGCAGGCACGGTTCCACCAATGCATTGTTAAAGAACTTTGTTTACTGACACCAACGGTGTAAACCCTAGTTCTTCTGGCTAAAATGTGCTGGCAGCCTGAGCCTGGAAGGGAGACCCTAGCACTTGGCTGTACGTGCTGTCTGCCTATGCTAACCTCCTCTGCCCCTGCCTACTATACACACACACATACACGCACACACACACACACATACACCCCTCTCTATCACCTCTCTTGCTTCATACTATATTCCCACAAGTCACCTGGCATTCCTGAATTCTTCATTCATTTCTTCTGATAATTACATCCAGTTTGCGTGAAACGTTTTCTTTTACTAATTACTCAGGATTTATAATCTGCTATAGAGATACATTGTTCTCCCATAGGAATTTCAGAGACAAAAGTCCCTAAACAAGTCAATGCTTTTGGTAATACCTTCTGGGCTGTGATAACCCGGGAGGCTGGTCTTGCAATCAGAAATCTTTGGTCTGAATTCTGACCCTGCCAGTTTCTAACTACATGACTTTGGGAAAGTCATTTAACCTCTCTGAGGTTCAGTTTCCCTTTCTGTAAAACATAGATAATAACAGGTCTGTTGTGAGGATCGAATTGGATGATGTATATAAAACACATAGGGTTTGCTGATTATTTGCAAGCCACTAGTGATAAATGCAAACCAAAAGGACACGATTACACATCTGCTGGTCAGCTTTGTTGGGCAGACATGCAGCTTTCCATTCTAACGCCTGAGAGGCAAGGCTATGCAGGTAGCAGCTCCAAGAATGCCAGGCCGATGTAGAACTGTAGGCCAAGTCTGAGAGGCCACAGCAGTTGAGGGGGTGCTCATTTATAACAAGAAAGCAAAGAGAGTTGAATTCATTCCCAATGTGCCAACATAGGATAAGGAAACCCCAAGTTACTTATTAACACAACAAATAATGAGTAAGTTAGATAAGGTTTTTCCTAGGGGTTGGTACAAGTCCCTGTGTTTGTAGATTCATCAGTCAATTTAGCTATTCCTATCTAATCCTCTCTTCCTGCTAGGGCAAGAGTCTGCCCAGACTGGGTCACAAGGACTGGTTTGAGATGATTCCCCTCCCTCATCCTTGTCAGCTCCCTCATGCTCAGACTTGCAATACTAGCAAATGAGGGGCAGCTAGGTGGCACAATGGATAGAGCACCAGCCCTGGATTCAGGAGGACCTGAGTTCAAATCCGGCCTCAGACACATAACACTTATTGGCTGTGTGACCCTGGACGAGTCATTAACCCCATTGCCCAACCAAAAAAAAAAAAGGCTAGCAAATGAGCTTTGAAGGTATTAGGTGGGCTTTGTTAGCCCAGGGCCTGAGAAGAGACACATAGCTCCATGTGTGAACATTGTCTGATGGCTGCTGGTAGGCCCATGGACCTCTCTACTGGGGAAAATTTATTCTGAGTGAGACCCATCATTCCTTTCAGAAGCTGATCCATGAAGGCAGAATAATTTTAAAGTAAATCTTGACTGAGGATTTTGAAGGAGCTGGTGTTCCCCATCAGAGCCACATCTGCCCAAAGTATCAAATCTAGCAGTAGGCTATTTTTGACTAAATGGCTCAGTCAAAGTCTCCCAGACAGATCTGTGTGAACTGATGCAGAATGAAGGGAGCAGAACCAGGAGAGCAATGTACAGAATGAGCCCAATGATAAAAACTAACACAGAAAGCCTTAAGAACACAGATCAGTGCAGTGAAGTTGAGGACTAATGGTGGAGGGAACACGCATTAATGTGGTGACTCCTAAGTGCAAAATGGTGCATGCATTTTCATACACCACCAATGTGTTGACTTGTTTTTCTTGATTATACTATTTGTTTTAAGGCAGAGTTTGGGAGTGAGCAAGAGGAGACAGTGATGTAGAAAAAGAGCATTTAAATCTTCTAAAATTTGTGAATTGGTCTGATCATTATGGAAATCCATTTGTAATCATGCCAAGAATGTGACTAAAAAATCCGTACCCTTTGATGCTTAGGTCCTACTGCAAAATTCTTCTACATCTCTTGGAGGTATTCTTCAACATTGTCCAATATAGGGCTACTCCCCAGGAGGCAGGGGAAGGCCTAGCAAGTTCATTGCCCAATGAGTTGAGATATCACAGAGATCCTCTTTCCTCGTTTCCTCTTGTTTTAGTAGCAAGTCCCCATAGTTCCTGAAGGCTCTTGTTTGTGTAAGAAATTCTGGCCACCTGGTGAACTAGTGTGGCAGTTACTGCCCATTTGATGGATCAGAGACTGACTCCACAGTATCTCATGTTCTTCACTCTCATCTTGCAAGGCCATGACTCCCAACTCTCTGTGGCTTGGTGTAATTGCTCCTGGAGAGTGACATTCAGAGCCTCTAGCTTCACTGCCAGCTGCCCAAGTCCCCTCACTCCAGCAACTGGCTTGGCCAATGCAGGTTCAGACTAGTTTGAAAAGGGAGGCTGTTGGATTCCCCAGGCTTGGGGATTAGCAGGAGATTAGCAGGGCAGTCTTTGAGAGAGTAAACAAGGCCTTGGCAATAAAGCCTGACCAACCCCAGGCCATTTCAAAGCCAGAGGGAGCCAGAAAGCGGACAGAGCCAAATGGCAAATAGCAAAATCCAAGGCCAGAAAGTCCAAATGCTGAAAGGTAACAAATCCAGGGGCTATTCAGGAAAGCAGCCAGGGATTCACAAGGGAGGGGTCAAGAGTGAGGGGGAATCAAGACAAGAATTGGGGCAGAGACCAATGGGGGAGGTGGCTAGCTGCCCATGATAATTTACTTTACTCAGAGATTCAAAGCAATGATGCTTCCTGGTGAATACAGTACCAAGCATGCCTAGTTGAAGCAGGGAGAAAAAAGAGGTGGCTTGTGCCACTTCCATCATCTGAACCTGGACCTTCCTTCAGGTGCTGATAAGAGCCAGCCCAAGACCCTGAGGCCAAGAGTCCTGGGAATGCCAGTGAAGCTGCTCTTCAGGCCACCAACCCATCCCCAGCAACCATCATCCCAGGAAAAGACTCCTGGACATTCAGCCCCGAGTCTCCTTCTGCAGGTGTTGAAGCCCCTGCATCTTAGTAGCCACAGGTACCAAAGACCAGAAAAGAAAGTGCTTGACTCCAAAGTCCTTGGCTCCAAATCAGAAGCAGACATTGATTTTATCAGTGGAAACAACACTGAAGAGGCAATTCCATCAACTTTGCTGCAGAACTCCTGGACCTGGAACTGAAATCTCCTATATACGTGAACTCCTTAAGAGCAGGGGTTATCTTGTTTTTGATTTTGTGCTTTGCACATAATAAACCTTTAGTAAATGCTATTCATTCATTCATTCATTCATTCGTTCGTTCATGCCCCCCATTGAGCTGAAGGTGACCAGCTGTATTCTCAAACACTAGCTGGTAACTTCTAATCTGGTCTCCCCCCCATCTCAAGTCTTTCCTTTCCTAAATGTCTCTCTCATATTGACATGTTAAACATGTTAGAAGGTAAGCTCCCTGAGATAGAAATTGTTTCATTCTTTGTATTTATGTCCCCAGGGTCCAGCACTATGATTCATAGGACCATAAATCTAGCACTGGAAGGGATCTCAGAGACCATTTATTACAACTCCCTGTTTTACACAGGAGGAAAATGGAGTCCTGGGAGACTGTGACTTGCTCAAGGTCACATCAGTAGCAAATTTCAGAGGTAGAGCTGGAACCTCCTTTGTCTCCAAAGTCAGTACTTTTCCCAATGTACTGTGATTAATTGACCTATTTTCCTTACGTCCAGATCTGTGAGTGTCATTCTTTTAGAACCATGGACCTAGGGCTGAAAGGGACCTTAAAGGTCATTTAGTGAGCCATTTTACAGAGAAGAAAACTGAGGCCCAGAGACATTAACTTACCCGAGGTCACACAGATAATAATGTGTCAGACCCAAGTTTTATGTGATTCCAAATACAGGGTTCCTTTCACTGTATCATATAGTGCCTTTCCTGCTCAGAACTCTTCCATGGCTCTCTGCTGCCTCTCAAATAAAATACAGAATCCTTAACCTGACGTTTAAACCTGGCAGCATAGTCACCTTCCAGCCTTCTCTCACACAGGCTCTGTTCCATGCATGCTGTTCTCCAGCCGAAGTGGACGATTTGCCAGCCCTGTGTGCATCCAGTCCTTCTCCACCTTCCTGCTTTTGTTTTCACCAAATCTGGAATGCCTTACAATCCCCTGTACCTTCCCAAATCCATCTCTTCCTCTAAGGCAGGGGTGTCCAACTCAATTAGAAACAGGGGCCACTAAACTGTATATAGGGTTCCCTCATATTGACTTGGAAAACCACATATAAACGCCATCTGTGTCCTCTTGGATTTTAATTTTTTTTGTTCAATATTTCCCAGTAACATTTTAGTCTGGTTCAGGTTAAACTCTGGCTGAGTGTGGCATCATGCAATGTATGTTTGACACCTGGTTCAAATGCCACCTGTTCCATAAAACCTCTACTGATCTCCCAGTCAAATGAGATCTTTCCTTCCTCCAACTTAGCATAGGAAAATGTACTTAGGAACATGAGATTTAGAGTTGGAAGGGATCTTGTATATCACCAAGACCAGTACCCTCCCTCCATCCCCCCAAGTCATCAGTGGTTCCCCATTGACGTTAGGATAAAATATGAATCCTTTCACAATATGCCTCCAGTTCATCTTTTCAGCCAGAGTTCATGTTATATGCCATCATATTCTACCACGTGGCCTAACTGGGGGGTTCTTACCTCTCCCCCACAACTTTTCATCTTCCACTTTCATGTTGCTACAGGGTGTTCCTTATACCTGGAAAACTCTCCTTACTTGATTCTACCTCTTAGAAACCCTAGAACCCTCAAGGTTTACTTCCCCCCCATTATTTGTCCTTCCCACCCCCAACCCCCAATCACTGTATAAGGTGGCTCAGCAGATCAAGTGCTGGACCTAGAGTCAGGAAGTCCTGAGTTCAAATCTAGCCTCAGATACTTCCTAGCTGTGTGATCCTGGGCAAGTCATGTTACCTTCAGTTTCCTCATCTGTAAAATGGGAATAAAAAACAGCACCTACTTCATGGGGTTGTTGTGAGGATGAAATGAGAGAACTGTAAAAAACTTTGCAAATCTTAAAACATCTAATTGCTAGCTGTTATTATTATTATTTATCAGTAAATATGTTATAACCCTCTAGTAGACTTTGAAGGCAGATGCTGTCACACTTTTTTATTTGTATCCATAGTGCTTAGCACGTGGTGGGTGCTTAATGGCTGCTTGTTGACTGAATACAGATTGAGAACCTGAGGTCCAGTGAAATTAAGTCACTTGTCCAGTGGGCTCTCAGATAATCAGTAGCAGAACCAATCTTCTACCTCAGGTCTTCTGACCCCAAATCCAATATTCTTTCCACTACATCATCATTCTATCCCATTAGTCTAGTATATAATGGACTATAGTTGTAGTATATTTGTGGTATGATATTGTATATTCCTCATCCATAACTAGGGTGGTTCGACTTAGTCTTTGTCCCAGGAACCAAAATTTAGAGCCTGTTGACAGTACTTCAACACCATATGAACATGGGGCAGCTAGGTGGCAAAGTGGATAGAGCACTAGCCCTGCAGTCAGGAAGACCTGACTTCAAATCCCACCTCAGACACATGACCCTGGGCAAGTCACTTAACCCCGATTGCCTTAAAAAAAAAAAACAACACCATATTAACAACTGAGCTTAATAACTAATTAGTAAGAATAATGACTTGAAATGTGAAGTTACCATCTGGTGAGATTCCCCAAGGGACCACAGTGCAGGTGACCTCCTTTTCCAAAATCCAGGATTCTCTCTTCTCCCTCAGCTTATTTGCCCTAGGCCAAAAAACTGCTAGTTATGGCTCTGGTATTCCACAGTACACTCTAAGCTTCATGAGGTCAGAGGCCATGTTTTGTTTTGTTGTTTTAAATCCTTAGTGTTTAGTGGTGCTTAATAAATGCTTTGTGACCCTGGGGAATAATAAGAATAACTAATAGCTAGCATTTATATAGTACTTACTGAATGCCAGGCACTGTGCTAAGTGCTTTACAATTATTACTCCATTTGATTCTCACAACAACCCTGGGTTGTTGTTCAGTTGTTTCAGTCATGTATGATTATTTGTGACCCCTTTTAGGGATTTTTTTGGGCAAAGATACTGAAGTGACTTGCCATTTCCTTCTCCAGCTCATTTTACAGATGAGGAAACTGAGGCAAACAGGGTTAAATGACTTGCCCAGGGTCACACAGTTAGTAAGTGTCTGAGGCTAGATTTGAATTCAGGAAGATGAGTCTTCCTGATTCAGGCCTGGCACTCTATCCACTGTGCCACCTATCTGCCTCAGGTGCTAGTATTTATTCCCACTTTACAGATAAGGAAACTGAGGCAGACAGCAGTTAGGTAACTTGCCCAGAGTCACACAACCAGAAAGTGCTAGAGGCGGATTTGAATTCAGATCTTCCTGACTTCAGGCCACTGTGCCACCTAGCTTAAATTATTCTGGTGCAAAAGAAAAAAAAAAAAGCTCTGAACTTAGAGTCTAGGGACCCTTGGTTCAAACCCCTACTGTGTACTTATTATCTTTGTGACCATGGACAAGTCACAGATATCTTTGGGCCTCAGTTTCATCACCTGGAAAATGAGGGATTGGATCAGATGAATTCTAAGATCTCATTCAGTTCTTCATCATAGTCCTGTGACTTCTCAATCCCTCCTTCCCCATCCCCACATCCAACCTCCCTCCCCATCTCCAAGACCATAAATTACAACTGTATCAGTAGAGGAGTTTCTCCATAAAGAAAAAAAAATGATCCATTTTCACTCTTTTTGTTCCAGCAACCTACAATTAAGGAGTGTGAGGAAAGCAAAGATATAACAATGCATGTTGAAATTCATTCTTTCTCTCTACTTAACACACACACACACCGCTTTCCAGGCCCATGAAAATTTCAAGGCCATTTCCTGTGCAAAAGTAAAAGTCAAGGGCTCAAGGAATGTCCTTAACAGGGCTTAAGTGAAGTGGGTAGAAGGTGTTCCTGGGAGCTGGGAAGGTCCTCATGTCCTGACTTTGGACCATGGCAGGGCATCAGATGGGAGAATGCTTGTCGATTGACTGAAACCCTTCAATGTCTCTGGTCTATAAGAAGGGAATAAGGAACCATTTCTATGCCGTCCTGGAACTCGGGGCAGCTCACTCGCTCCTTTCCTCTCCTCTCCTTGGCTGGTTCTTGGACATTGACCCAGATTTCCCCAGATCCCAAGGCCTAGCTGCACAGCTGAAGCTCGGAGAACAAACCCTGGGAAATAAAACAGTTTGCTTGCTTGGAAAGTTGGCCGCTGCAGCTGGTGGTTAACACCAACGGTAAGAGGATCAACTCCATCTCCGCTAGCTAAAAAAAAAAGGGGGGGGAAGGGGAGGAGGGGGCGCCCTCCCCTTTTGCCTTTCAGGGTTTAGTTAATTTGGATGATAACGGTTAGTTTTTAATCCCATTGTGTGGGAGTGAATATAGTGAAATCAACAAACCTGCCGACAGAACAACCAGCGGGCGAGTGTGAGTTTGTGTCCAATCTGGCGTGAAGAAAAGAAAACATCTTGGGAAGATGTATTGGAAGAAGATAAGCCCAGCGTGGGCGGGAGGGGGGTGGCGGTCCAGGACACTGAATAGCCCCCCCCAACTCGTGAGGGGCAGAAGAAGGGGGACCACTGGGCAGTTTCACCCTATACTTGGTGGCCACGAAGGTCCCCACAGCCTTGAACCCGCCTCTGCGCCCGGGTAGTTGCATCACCAAACATGGTGCAGCGTCGTCTCCACACAAGATAACTAATGACCCCCAAAGGGGTAAACTCGGGAGTCTTAGAGGAACTAGGTCTCCTCTGTGATCACCCTAAAGTAAAAGTTATTTATGAGGGGCGGGGTACCGTGAGTGTGAAAGGGGGGGGGGAAAGAACTATTTCTAGGGAAGCCTCTGAAGTTTCCAGATGGAAAAGATTAGAAACCCGCGACTGCAATCATAAACTATAACATGATTTGATCGTTTTCATCCGAGAGAAATCCCCCCCCAGTCCAGAGCACTTTGGGGGAGCGTACAGAAGAGGGGTGGGGGGAGGGGCGTAAGGTAAAGGACCCCAGGACCCCAGTGCTACACAGACAGCAGAAGCGCAGAGACACAGCAGAGGCGGCTTCCCAGCTGCCACCGCCGCCCCCCTCTCTTCCCTTCGGCCCGTCCAGCTAATTTCGTCCTTCATTTCTATCCTCTCTTCCCCTCCCTCCTCCTCCCCCGATATTTTCTGTCTCTAAAACCATAAAAAAGAGATCAACTTCCCTAACTTCACGGGGCCCTTTTCAGTGACAAATATTGATGCCCAAAGTGTCTGCGCTCTCCCGCCCCCAAACGTCGAGAAAAGGCGCCCACGAAAGGGGAACATAAAAAGTTAACAATGCTGTGAAAATATGTTTGCAGAAAATAGACAATCGTTGGATTAAACGTATTCAAGTATGAAATAATGCCTTTTTGTGTCAAAACTTGGGCGATGGGAGGGTACAAAAGTTCCCTGTGGCAGCTACTTGCTCCCTTTGTGAGCTGTGCGCTTTGGCGTCTCCACTTGGGCGCATTACTCAGAGCACTCTAAGCGCGATTGTTTCTCCCTTTCTAATGACATTTACCGGATCAAAACATGCTGTTAATTCGATCAGAAGGCTTCACCCTCCTTGACAAAGCCACAATAATTTCTCCTGAAGTTTGTTAAATTGACTAAAATTAGGCAAATGAATAGGGGGTCTGTAGGCGGCCCCCTCTCGCAGGTGACGACGCATAATGCCTGCCCCGGCCAGCTGCACTCCCCCTTTTCTTTTCGGCCCCGCTCTTCCTCGCGTCACCCCCCCCTTCGCCCCCCAGCCTTTCTCTCCTCCCCCACCCTCCGGCATTATTAAAATTTAGCCCAATGAAACTATTCATACTTTTCAATGGACATTTTCGTATGGGATAATAGGCTACAAATTGAGCCTCTTCCCCCTGCAAAGAGGGAGACGAAGGGGGAGAAGAAACAAACAAAAAAAAAAAAACAACAAACGTGGCGGGGTGGTGGTGAGGGATAGCGTCGCGTGCCAAAGGGCAGCGGGAGGGGCGAGGCAGCCCGGGAGCCTCGTGTGCCAGCCCCAGCCCCAGCCCCACACCTGCCGGGGTGTCCGACAAATAAAGCGGGGTAAACAAAAAGCAGAGCGATGGACGTGTCACCAAGTCGTGTGAGAAAAGGCTGAGAACAAACGGGGCGACTCTGTCTCCAAGAGCTCTCCCTTGAACTCGGCGGAACAGCCTATTAAAGGCTTACTTAATTACTTTAATGACTCTGGACAGGCTTTAAAATGCACTCGGCGCTTGGCTGGCCGGCTTGCTGGGATTTGTAAACAGGCGATCGTGTGAGCCAGGGCGGTGGGACTAAAGAAGGGAGTTGGGTTTTGTGAGTGCACCCGCCCCCCGGTGCCGGCGGCTGCTGCGCCCCTGCGCTCCGCTGACTGCAGGCGAGGCGGCTGGTGCTCCGGCTTGCACACGCACACGCACACAGGCTCCAGTCTGATGCGTCCTTTTCCCGCCCGGGCTGTTGCCATGCAAATATTATCCCTGGCAAGATCACGTGTCCTTTGAAGGGCCACGTGGATTAACAAAGCTGATCTGCCCCCTCCAACCCACTCCCTTGGCTGCTAATTTTTTTTTTTACTTCTTTAAAACTGATCTTTAATGCATACATTCCCCAAACGCAGCTCCTCTAATCCTATGGAATAATTCAAACCATGAATGCACTCAGTTCCCCCTAAATGATCGCTTTATAAAGCAGCCCCTCCGAAGTTGGGAGGCTGCAGTCTACCTGAAGCACTTGAGAAAGCACAAGAGAAGGAAGGAGGAACGGGTGACTTCTTTCCGGAGGTTTCTTCCAAGGATGTCTGACAAACTGAAGGAACGCAAAGTGAGTTGGAGTTCCATAGACCCGTCCTTTGCGCCCTGGTGTTGGAGGTGTCTAGATTTGCACGCTCCTCGCCTTCCTGTGAAAGGCTACTCCCGGTCTGGACCTGTAGAATATGTTTGAACAACCCTCCTGGAGTTTGAGGGTGCGACTAGAGGGGTAAAAGCCTAGAATCTGTGACCCAACAGTGAAATCAAACGTCAGCAGACTGGGGCTCATTTCGAGATAACTCAAGCAGGCGGCATGGGAGTTTGGCCCAACCTGGTAGAGGAGGCAGGCTGGGGCACCCTAGTCACTTACTCATGGGAAGTGATTCTGGTTCTCTCTTCTCCAGTCCCAGAGCACGTAGGCTCACAGCTCTTTGAACATCTGGAAAGAGTTGCATCTTTTTATATATTGAACATCTGGAACACCAGAGGGAATTGGAGAAATGGCACCAGGCTCTGCCTTCTCATTTCTCTATTTCCCTGCCCTATCCTTGCTTGACTTCCGAGGGCCAGAGGCTGAAAATACAAAGCCATACCCCTCCATTTTTTTTCTTTTTGCAGAGAACTCCAGTTTCCCATAAAGTTATCGAAAAGCGAAGGAGGGACCGTATCAACCGCTGCTTAAATGAGTTGGGCAAGACGGTGCCCATGGCCCTAGCTAAGCAGGTAAGGACAACAATCGGTCCAGACCCAGGGGAGAGAAGGGGCTGTTTAAGGTCTTCGGCCCCTGGACCACAAATACAGGACTGGGTCATCCTGCCCGCCCCGCCCCGCCCCCAAAGCGAAGTCTGAAAGTCTGAAGCGCCGCAGCAACAGCCTTCTGTCTTGGGGTGCCTTCAAGATCCACCAAGTTATCAGGTGGGTCTTTGGGAGCAGGACCCACCTGATACTTTTTTTTTCCTGGATATACACATTCAGTACCAGGTGGCTGGACATATACGGCCGTCTGATACTTTCATCCTCTTCTGCCTCTTTCCCAACCCGGTGCCTTGGCTGACCCTCCATTTGCTTCTCTTGCAGAGTTCGGGGAAGCTGGAGAAAGCGGAGATTTTGGAGATGACCATACAATACTTGAGAGCCTTGCACTCCGCTGATTTCCCCCGGGGAAGAGAAAAAGGTAAGCATCCATTTGAGTTAACTAGAACTTGTGGAGATGGGTGTACACCACTCAGCGACCTCCAGGGTTCGATAGGACCTAGGTGCCTGATTCCTGGTATGAGGCACTCTTCTTTTAACCCACATGCTCCGCTGTATGGTTGTAGTAAACAAAACAAACCCATTTGTTACTTTTCTCTCAATCAAAGCATGGGGGATAGTGGTGATGGATAATGTATAGCTTATGTTTCTGAATGAAAAGGTAGATGGTTTATTACTCTTTCCTAGATGTAGCAAGGATTTCAGACTGGGTGCCTGGGTGGCTGGGATGGAAACTTTGACCAGAAAATGAGAAGTGTGGTGAAATTTATTTGTGATGACCAGACAAGATAATACACTCAGAAAGAAGGGCTTAAAGCTCTCTATAAATAAATGCAAGGCATTATTTTCACCTCCCTCTCCATCCTCGCTCATGGACGATAAGCTGTAAGGGAGCTGGAAAAAGGTCTTATTTATACTTTGCACCTTCCTCTCCTAGGACCGTGCCCTCTTCACAAGTGCTTAAATAAATGCTTGTTAAATAAAGTGACGGAAAAAGCTCTGGTTTTAGCCATTAGATCTGAGATAGTAGCCTGCCTCTGCCACTTATTACCTTTGTGACTTCGGGCAAGTCAGTTAACCTGGCTGGGCCTCAGTTTCCTCGTCTGTCAAATGAGGGGGTTGGACAAGATGACATCTAAGGAAGGCCCTTTCCAGCTCACGGTCTGTGATCCTATGAGCCGAGAGAGCCACACGTCGAGGGAAGGGGAGCTCCTTGCTTGCTCTTTGCTCATTCGCTTTTTATCACTCCTTTCTTGCCTCTCCAGCAGAACTTTTAGCGGAATTCGCCAACTACTTCCATTATGGTTACCACGAGTGCATGAAGAATTTGGTGCATTATCTGACCACGGTAGAGAGAATGGAGACCAAGGACACGAAGTATGCGCGAATCCTGGCTTTCTTGCAGTCCAAAGCGCGGCTGGTCACCGAGCCCGTGTTCCCTTCGCTAGGTTCCCTTCCCGAGCCAGACTTCTCCTACCAGCTTCATCCCGCGGGCCCCGAGTACCCTGGACACAACCCTGGTGAAGCCTCGGTCTTCCACCAGGGGCCAGGACATGGCCCCTTCTCTTGGCCCCACGGTCCTGCCCGAAGCCCTACCCTACCCTACCTACCCAACACTCCGGTGACCCTCTCCAACCCGACACAACAGCACAGCCCTTTCCTGGCCCCAGTTCAGGGGCTGGATCGCCATTATCTCAATTTGATCGGCCACTCCCACCCTAACACCTTAAACCTGCACACGCCTCAGCACGCCCCAGTGCTATAACACACAGGAGGCCCAGATCTCGGCGCCCCTACGACTTCATCACCTGACTTGGGCACAGTTAGGAGAAATATTGCATATTGTACAGATGTAAATATATTGCACACAATCAGAAGGGGCGGGAGAAGAATGGTTTGTCCTCTGAAGGTTTCCTCCCTCCCCTCTCTCCCTAATAAATAATTTGAGAAAGACGTTCCGGGAGAAGGTTTTTCGGTTTGTTACCTTCGGCTCCCTTGCCGTGCGCCTTCTCGGAGGCAGTGGTGAGCTGAACTTGGTCGGGATAAAAGTGAGGGCTGTTGGGGGTTGGGGTGAGGGCTAGACTGCTGCAGTTGCTCCTGGGATGCAATGAGAGGGTGTTGAAGTGCTTGAGCTTGGAGAGGTCGGAGATTGGAGAGGATGTTACTTGGGCTAGGGAGGAAGATGTGGGAGCCAGCCATTCATTCTTCCGCCAGCGGATGCAGGCTGATAGCCACTCGGGGCTCCTCCCCTCCCGAAGGCGGGTCTGGGCAGGGAAATCCCTCTGCCAGCTGCGCACCAGTCGGTGTCACGCGCTCTGCGCATTGGCCCGGGTAAAGGAAGGGAAGGAGAGTCGAGCTGGATAGCAACGCATCCAGGGAGCCCCAAGCCTCCGTATCTGCCCCGGAAACGAACGATCATTAGTTAATCCAGCTGCAGCCACCCAAACCTCTCAGCACTTCTATCCATTCACAAAATCGTGCAGAACCGACACCGCCCAAAACAGTGCGCTTCTTCTGCGTCTGTTGGATCCAAGAAGCACCATTCTCTCCATGGTTCCTGCCTCGCCCAAGTTCCCTCTAAATAACTTTTTAAAATATAAAGTCTCAAGTAGCATCCTCTGAAAACAAAAAATAAAATCCTGTGATGTTTCCCAACTGTGAACTCAATGTCTTGGGAGTGGGGGTGAGGAATGAATATTAGGAGGAGGGGAGCTGGTAAATTCACGTTTGTAAAATGCATAACACCTTGGGATTATCTAAGTTAGAAAGACTTATTTCGGAAGATTTATTTCCCAGTGTCTTTTACATGCATAATACATGCATACATACGTGCACTCACATGGGCAGGAGAAACAGATACACCTCCCCAGTGATGCAGGTGTAGGTGCAATCTTCTCCAAGCTATTCAAATTACCAAGGGAAGGAATCCAGGGTGCTGGGTGGATACTTCAAGATTTGTGAAAATACTTGGACAATAATCCAAGAGAAGATGCGGAGGGGTTTATTTTTTTATGACTAGGGAGTTTCCATGCTGATGAAATAAGGGGTCCATCAAGGGTACAAAGATTTTTCTCTAATAGAGGCACACAGACTTTTTGTCTGATAGAGCCACACACACACATAGAAACCTTTTCGCCGTCCTTGGTCAGCAAGCTGTATTCACCTTCTCAGGTCTCAGTCTAATTCTTTGGGATAGGGACAGAAAGTTCTACCCCTAGCGAGAAGATAGAGTAGGAGTGAAAAGATTTAGAGAAAAAGAGCAATGAGGAGAAGAGAAAGGGGAGGGCACAAAAAGTCCTTATCTCTCTCATCCTGCCTGGCAGCTGAGGGGAATTCGGGAAGGGTCGTGAAAGGATAAGCCCTTGGGTGAGTCCAGCTGTAGAATTGGAAGTAGGAACTCAAGGGCCACAGTCTGAGCTCCGGGGCCAGCTTTTCTCTCCAGGGAAGACTTTATCCCTCGGATCTGATCCCTGAGTCACACTCCAGGCACCGCTTTATGGTAAAGAAAGTTTTAGATGTCTTCGTGTTTGCTAGCGGTCTCCAGGAGATTGGGGTCTTCCAAATGGAGCTGGACCAGTATTTTAGCAATTAAAGAAAATAGGTTAAGATCAGATCTTCAAAAATTAAAAAAGAAGCTGACTCTGCAGTGCTGGGACAGAGACTTTTTGTCTTTTTGACAAGTAAGCAGAGCAGAAACTTTTTCCCATTCTGTTCTTTGAGATTTTTTTTAATAGGTCATCAGAAACTTCTTTCACTTGACGTCCATGAAATAATAAATATATACTTTCCAGGGCATGTTGTTTGACATGAAGACCACATAGTCAAGGGCTATATGTATTCCCCTCCCAGCTTAGCTGAAGGATAGTAAATTAACTTATTCCATTTCCCGGGGAAGGATTTAAGGGAAAGTTGACCTGGATTGTTTACTAAGGTCATGGAAAGGGATGACCCACAATTTGTAAACCATCAAACTCCATTCTGCAGAGACAGGCAAAATAGATCTTCATTACAATGGGCCAAAAGTAAAATGTATAATGTGTATCTTCTTTTAAAATACACACATATCTGCAAACAGAAAAAGCCTTGTATGTCAGACATCCTTGTCCGCTATATGCAAGGATGTAAACAAACTATGAACTGAGTTGGGAAGGAGAAAGTTAAAGCAGGAATAGAAAAACCTCCTGTGAAAACATACATTGAGCAATATGGGATCAAAACAAATTATGCAGAAGCAGGAGAATGGATGGTGCCTATTATGGAAACACATGTCTTACACTCATTTTCATCAGTGCTGGATACAGAATATGAAGAAGGCCTTTCAGGGTTTTTTTTTTTCTCTGAGTACTAAGCCAATCTGAATTCCCCTCGGCAGCGAAGCATTAAAGATATAGTGTTACCCTGGAAATATAAATTATTAATATATTCAGCATTTTTGTCACTTCTCAACTGTTAACCAAATTAGACAAAACTCTCTTTTTGCTAAGTAGATTTTCTCTTTGGGATTAGCTTTGGGAAAGCACAGGCCACCTCGGTAAAACTTCAGTCATTTACATATAATTTTGCAAACTTCCACTGGTCCATGACAGTCTTTGTACCTCAAATGTTGGTATTCTTGATTTTTTTTCTTTCTCATTTAACTGGGGAGGATAAACCCTGCTTTGGATTTACAATGACTTTAGGATAAAAGTCTCCCTCCCCTTTCTCCCCCTCTTTCAGAGTGTGTGTGTGTGTGTGTGTGTGTTGTGTGTGTGTGTGTGTGTGTGTGTCTTTCTCTCAAACCTCCATCCAAAATCCCAATTCTTCAGGCTTCACCAAAAGTCGAACTTGAGATAATTTGACTTTCCAAAAGATTAAAAATGTCACCTCAGAATGTAATTGATTCAAATAAGATTGTGACTTAAAAGTGTCCCTTCCCATTGACACCCCCAATACATGGATTCCAGCTTACCCCCTTCCAGCTCCCTCCCCATCCCCGCCTTCTTTTTCTCTCTGTCTGACTTTCTTGTGCACTCTCTCTACCCTTTCTTTAAGTAAGTTGTATAGTATTGGTTTCCAAGGGAGGCCCAACCAAACCCAGAAATAAAAAAAAAAAATCACAAAAAACAAAAACAGTGGGTTTGGCTGGAGGTGACCCATTGTGACAACTCTGAAAGGGGCAATCTCTTATTTCTTGGGCTTCATCCTTGAGTGGGCAAGAATAAAAATAATCATCCCCATGAAATCAAAGGTTCTCTCCAGAGGCTTGAGGAACAAAGCTGATGGCTAGTGCTTTGGGGTCGGTCCCCTTGGCTCAGCATTGCCAGGATAAGGAGCCCCCCCTGCAGCCGCCAGTGCCGGGGCACCCGGCAGCTCCCTTAATACAGAGCTCACTTGTGCTTCCAAGCGTTATTGAACAAATAGAGCCCTCGGGCTGGTAGGAGCCCCATTCTAGGTCTCCATCATTTGTCCGGGCCCATGGGTATCAAGGGAGACACAGAAGGCTTTGGAAGGTGGCACCTGCTGGCAAAGTGAAGTCCAGCAGTCACAGAGGTATCTGGTTTCAAGAGATCTAGTAAAGGTTTCTAGAAAGGGAAAAACATCAAGGGAAGAAAGAGGAAGCGTTCTATGAGTGGTTCCTGACATTGCTCAGTGCCCTGGAAGACTGTCTGGCTTCTCAGATCCTTGGTCTACCAGGTCACACTATCACAGTAAGAGTGACCTTCTTATGAATCTTGATGAAGTTGGGAATGAGTTGCAATGGCCTGATATTCCTGGAAACTGCCTAGGGTCATAGGAATGTCCTTAGACAGTTTGAAGAAGCCTGTTTCACCTTGGACCTTCCCTTAGCACAAAACAATTTGTGAGATCCCAAAATTGAACTAGCTTCCTGAAAATCCAGCCCTCAAAAATGAAATAGGAGATAATGCCTTTCCAAAGTGGAGCCAGCTCTCTGGATCCACCCTGCTTAGAACTCTCAATTGCAGGGCTGGTTTGGGAGAAACACAGCGCAGACTCTGGAGTCAAAGATCTAGGGTCCCACAGTCATGCCCTACATGGGACCTTTTGTAGGTGACAATCTCCCTGGCCTTCTGTTTCCTTATCTTTTACCTAAGTGGTTGCAATGAATGGCCTCTGTGACACTAAGACAACGTTTTCTCTTTCTCTTGCTTGGGGGAGGTAGGGAAGGATGGCTGACTCAGTCTCATGTTCATTGGGTGATCAGGAGGAAAGTAAGCCAGTACAAAATCCACCAGTTCATCACAGCTCTTCCAAACATACCTGTGTGTTTTCTCTTCCATCCCTTCATCTGGATAGACAGCAAGTAATTAACAAATGCTTGTTGGTTGATGACAGTCCAGGCACATGCTACTTAAAATTTTATTTTGTCTTCCATTAACAAGCATTCTTTTCTCTCCCCTCCCACCCACTAATGTAATCTAACATTTATATAGTACTTATGTGCCAGGCACATTGTGCTAAGCACTTTACAATTATTATCTCATTTGATCCTGGGAGGTAGGTGCTATTATTATCTCCATTTTACAGATGAGGAAACTGAGGCAAACAGGGGTTAAGTGACTTGCCCAGAGCCACACAGCTAATAAGTATATGAGACTGGACCATACCTTTTCCATTGGAAAGGAAAAAAAAGAAAGAACAATGAAACATTTCAAGCAATTAAGGAAGGCATATGCTTATTATGTGAGTGTTGCTTTCCAGTACATTTGTCACCATTGTAAAATATGCATGTATATATCCATTGTTCCTTCAAATGCTCACATCCTTACCCTACCCTCCAGGCATGTTACATCCTCCCTAGCATTCCCATGTCATATATTTTCATTCTCAAAACTTTCCTATGTTACCCTTATAAGAGTCAGCTAGGTAATGCAGTGGATACGGGGCTGGGGCTGGAATCAGGAAGAACCTACATCATCACTTTAGAATCCCTAAAAGGTGCTCAGCTTCTTGCTGGAAGATCAGTGCTATCTGTGCTTCAGTTTCCTCTTCTGTAAAACAAGGATGCAGGACTAGATGATTTCAACAATCCTTTTTGATTCCAACTTTCTTTGTACACTTCCACACACAGGTACATACCTGACCAAGGACACTGTGAGCTACAATAGCTTTTGTGTGGTGAGAGAAAGCAAAGATGTCTGTGTCCCACCATGGTCAAGTTCATAGGATCTATGGGCTAGAAGGTACCTCAGTGCCCCTTCGCCTTAAAGATGAGGACATTGA